AGATGCTTGATTTAAGAAGCTATTGATACTTTAAGTAAAAATAAATAATCATATAAAATATTAATAAAAATATATTTTTAAGTACTAATAAATGATCTTTGACATGTAATAATTTGATTATGTTCGCATATGTGCCTAGATTCCATTTTTGATCCGCCAAAAAAGAAGAAAATATAAGGAGATGAGATGATTATATTGAAATGTGTATGCTATTTTGCCAAAAAGGAATATATAAGAAGTTCGTAATTTCATGTTAAGTCATGCCAAATGGGGAGAATATATAAATATATAAATGCAGTTTGTGATGGATGTTTGGGAGAAAATATAAAAGAGATTATTGTGATGCATGAATAAAAAAAAAAAAAGATTTAAAACATGTGGAGAATGTGGTTGTGTGTATGATATTGTGGGGACACAATGCATGCATGAATTTAATTTTTATCTTGGCATGTTATTTTTTTTTATCATGCTATATTATACCTTGACACATTGCTTATGATAGGTGAAGTTTTTTAAATGCATAATATTTTTCATCTCCTTATTATATATTATGGTTATTATTATAAAAAAGAAAAATATTATATATTATGTCATTATAAAAAATTAAAAAATTGTTATCATTATAAAAAATGAAAATATTATATATTATATCATTATAAAAAATTGAAAAATTGTTAGCCAACATGTCAAAATATTATTGATGATGTAGGAATTTTTCTACAACAAAATAAAACTATGAACTCTTTGATACAAACTTTACTTAAAGAGTAATCAAATCTTTCTAAGTTTTAATTTATCATAAAATAAATTTTATTCATAATTTTTTAATTGTCAAATTTAATTAATAAAAATTAATTTTATTGCCAAAACCAACACAGTGAAAACTATTTTATGAAAGAATTATTTTATCATATGCTTTGGTATCATCACTAAAATGCTTTTAAATGAATATCACATATTTGATTAATCATGTTCTTGCAGTTGTGACCACTAAAAACTTTTTTTATTCATTTTTAGTTAAATAGCAATCTTGTAATTTAAAAAGAATGTACCAAACACTTTAACTCACCTTTTTAATCATAATCATGTTCCAAAAAAATTTAAAAAATAATTGTTCAAATCACTATAAAAATTAATACATCTCTACCCATTAATAAACCCTTTCTTTCTTGATAATTTCAATTTTTTTCCCTTCTTTTAATAGGATAAAAATATTGGCCAAGCCATTCTCTTCCAAGGGGATGCTACAAAGATGCATACGCAGTGGGATTTTTTCCGTAAAATAACAAAATAATCTGTCTCAAGGGATTTTTGAGTTGACTCTTGATTTCAATTCCTTATTATCCTCTACCAGTGTCTCCACCACATCCTTCATGTAACTAATAACTTCTAGCAACATTTCTTATTCTAGAGTATAAATAATATAACAAGGAAGCAATCTGACAGAAACCATCTAGTCGTCTCCACCACTTCCTTCATGTAACTTATCACTTCTTGCAACATTTCTTATTCTAGAGTATAATAAATAATATAAGGAAGCAATCTGACAGAAACCATCTAGTAACAACTTAATATTACAATTCAATAAAAAGAAGAAAAGAAAAGAAAGGCCTGATGATTCATATGAAATATTCTTACAGAGAAAGGCCGAATGTAAATCTTCCTCCAATCCCCACATCACTCCAAAGGGTTTCCTTCCTTTTTCCTTTGTGTAAGGAGGTAATAACAAGTGGATCGCATGATGAGGTCCACCCCAGTTGAAAAACATTCTACAAATTCATAACTTGAGTTTCAATGAACAAACCCGATTAGGTGAAAAAATTTCAGTTCACTGTCAAAGCACAAATACAATACCTTACCGAAAGTAACTCGATTCCATCGTGCAGCCCAATCAACCATTTACAATTCTCGTGATTATTCCTCGTCCAAAAATACAATTTGATAACACAGGCAGAGCAAGAAGTATAAATTGACAAGATATCCTAGCTATGTCATGAATTAGAAACTAAAAGAAGGAGCCAGCACAATATCAGATTGACTACTAAGCACAAAGGAAAATCAACCACAAAGGAAAATTGACTAGACATCAGCGTTATGTCATGAAAAGAAAAGAAAGGCTTGTTTTTTCCTTCTAAAATTTAAATAAAAGTAAAGGCCTCTTTTATATGTATTTAAATCTTTTGTTCTTTCTAGTTCCAATTTCTCAACTAAGATTTAAGCAACACCATGTCAGCATAGTTCATTCTTCACATGTATGCATCACCAGGGAAGCAATAAAGAGGGACAACATATTGACATCTCATGCATTCAAAATAAATTAATAAATCTACATCTTGTAACGCAATAAAGTTATTAATCTCATTGGTAACTATATCAATCCAATTCTACTGAAAGATGCTACTCACAGAACAGAAAACATGAACAAGCCATAAGATCTCACCCGAGAGGTTACTGCTAACTAGACTGACTGTAAGCTCTGGAGAACGGTTCTGCACCAACACTGGGAATCATGTTTGTTAAGATAAACTCTTGAAAGGGATTGCTTAATGACCTCTCTATTGCAGTATGACTGCAAACAAGGAAAAAAGAAAAGTAAAATAGTGAAAACCTATGCAACCAAGAATCAGATGCATGGTCGCTATGTACATATGTAGATTTATCTGACCTGTGATCATGCTTTGATTGTTGAAAAAATCAAAATTTCAATCATTGTTCGGTAATTCATGATTGCAGTCAAATTCGTTATAATTACCTAGAGCTCAATCCTGTACTGATCAGGCAATGTAAAGACAGCATACAGATGTTACCTGCTAACATTATGTACAACCAACTTATCTTTAGAAGTCCAAGTGAACACTGTAGCACCTGTTTCTCAATCCAACACCATTGTCCAAGACAAGCATAGATATAGTACTTTGAGAAGGGAAAAAAGAAAGATAATTCAATTTTTCTCGTTTTGATTAATAAACCACATACCAAAACATATCATTGCTAATGACAAACATGACAAATTGAGATGAGTCAGGACTCTAAAATATATCATGCAAATTAACAAAGAAAAAAAAAAATCTTCTCTTAATAAATCTGAAGTTGTTTATATTCATGCTTCCAAATTCATCCTCTCTCCTTCCAATGATTACACAACAAACAAATTAACAATCAAATATGTACTCAGTGATCATAATAAAAACTGGCAATTTACAAGAGAGTTAACAAAATTGCTCCAGATGAAAAGAAAAGTGCAACATTCTTTCAAAGCAGCACATTACATACACATTTTGGAGCCTCCTAAGAATTTCCTTGAAGTTGGAATACGCTGTAACTGAGTTCAACTGGTCATAGACCTTAATATATTCTTCTTCTGGCAGGTGCAAACTTCACAAAATGAAGGAATCTACTAACACCAGCTCTCTTTTTTTCCCACCTATTCTCACAGCTCTACGACCAATTCTAGGTTGTTTTGCAGCTCCAGTGGCACTATAGTCCCCACAAAGCAAGCAAAATCAATGCCTTCATCCAGAAACCATCCTGATATCAACTTTTACCCTTTGGCATACTTATCAACATAACCCTGCAGAACAAAATAAGAAAATGGTATTGCCAAAACAAATATGACATAATTAAAGAGCATATAGAATCTAATCATGCATAGAACAACTTTTTAAAGCTGCACTTCCCACAAATTTTCCTGTTTTGTGTTCCCAAACATGTCCATTTACAAAAGAGAAGTTCTAATCATATTTTGAAATATTCTTCTTGATGGTCTTAATTGCTAAGAATGATATTTTGTGCCCACACTTGATACAACTTTTCAGTCATATGAGCTTCTTGAAATCGGACCTTTTTTGTAGCAAGGTTGTAGGCGCAACCTCCAAACTTTAAAAACCTACCTTCCCTTGATAAATGAAATACAACTGTACAATTCATTGTTCAAAACTTAAGAAGTACACTGCAACATTTCCCAAGTCCCACTAAAAAAATTACTAGATAGAAAAAACTCATGGTTAAGAATTCATGTCCATTAATTTCCCTTCTTTCAGCGGAAGGAGGCAGAATTGGAGAGGAAGCATACTTACAGAAGAGTTGTCTAGCTGCATCACAAAGCCTGTTTTCCATCCATGATTTCTATGTTCTAGAATGATAGTATCCAATTCCATGATCACACTTTTACTGATAGTGAGAAATTAATGTTCCAATCAGTAGACTCATAAGCTAAGTAATGAGGTCATGAGACCTCTATCTGTCACTACTAATTCATATGGCCAGACAACATGCATCAGATATGATATTTCTAAAAGAACCATTTCTAATTATCCATCCCCACTGATTTTTATACACGCAGGCCTTAAATATAAATATCATGTTTTTGCCAACTTAATTAGAAAGCATCATTAATTGAAAGCTTGGCAGCTTCAAGGTAAAAGAAAGGAGGATTTACCATCACAAGTTTTGTCAATTTCCATTGCGATGAGTCAATATAATGATCTATTTTCACCTTGGACTTGGGTATTTGGTGGCTCTTCATCGCTCCTGCAACCTTATCAACTGTCTTCTTGACAATAGTCTTAAATGCTTCCTTGCTCATGTTACCCTGTTGCCATGATGGCTTTAAAACCTCCTTCACAAAATCCGCAAGGGCAATCTTGAAAAGCTTCATTGATCTGGAGTCCTTGCTATTTTTGCTCTTCCTTGGAGACTTAACCTGATCGATCTCCATATCACCCATATTCACATTCACTACAACAGGATTACTTTGGCTCTGATCCTCAACATCACCGACTTCTGCATCTGCAGTCTCACCAAACTCCTCATTATCAAGGGATGTAGAAGGAGCAATGCCTCTAACCTCCTCCTTATTGTTTTCTTCAACATCCAATGATTTGTCTGAGCCACTAAGCCTTGGCATAATGTCAGTGTTACTGAATTCCCACTTCTGAATGTGGTCAAGTCTCCTAAATGAGGTTGAAGTTGGCTCAATGCTGTCCAAAAATGGATCATACTGATCACTACCTGACCTAGGAATAATTTGTGCAACATCCCTAGCAGAACTGGGAGAAGAGATTAGCTGTCTTGATCGAACACTAGCATCTTGTCCATCAAGTGAAATATGGTTCCAACTTGAAGATTGATCATACATGCTACTGTAGGATGCAACCTTTTCTTGTCTTAAAACATCAGAACTGAATTTGGAGTTGACCGGCAGCTCAAAACTAGCTGGATAAGTATTAGGGAGACTTGAATTTTTTGATACTGCAAAATTGGGCAGGCAAGACAGCTGATTTGAGTCCAGAATATCTGGTGGAAACACGGATGAAGGACCTATCTTCCCAGATAGACCATACACATTATCAGAAGCAAAGTTACTCAAACAATAGGATGGCTGCTGCTGCTGTAGATCTTCAGAGCCAACTGTAACTAATTTTGAAGCAGTTTTAGAAATGGTATTTTTCAAATAGGGCTCATCATTATTTTCTGAGCTATCCTCAGAAGCATTATCCTGCAGAAGTCTGAATGGGCTGCCGCCTTTTAAAACTTCACTAGAATACTCATCAGAATTCATGCATCCAGCAGCTGCCATGGCCCTTGATGAACTTTTTTCATCAACTCCAGCTGAATTAATGACTGGGCTATGAACTTCAGAAACTGTTTTTCCAAATGTCAATTGGTTACGACAGGAATTGAGTTTCGACCATTAAATTGAAATCATTATTAACTCCAAACTTAATGGACATGCAACAGGTCTACACATCATAAGCAACCTACTTGAGAACCATACAAGTGCAGATATAAGCACAGGCATACAATATTAAGCCATTAAAATATATAAGTATCTCAAAAAGGAGAATATTAGGAAGAGATTGTACATGTAGAGAAAAACAGTGTGTGGGTATAAGATTGACCTTGTTGACCATTATCCAGCCTGGAGGAACCAGGGACTGGTAAAACCAATGTGGCAGCATCAGATTGTGCTGAACTCTGCAGTTCATGCAACTGCTCTCTTATATCAGAGTCTCCAGCTATCAAATGATTGCAGTGAGTTAGATCTCCAATAGGGTGATTTGCTGCCTGGTCATTGTCAGACTGTGTAATATCATCTGAAAAGCACCCAGTGATGAGAGAGAAGCAAACAATGATATGAATCAATAATTCCACAATGCAAACACAAAATATTACTCATCCATAACGATATGTACAAACAAAATAAACAGTCAAGAAAACTTCACCAAATCGGACCAGTTGTTTAGATCATTCAACACGAACTCCTTCTTCCACCAACTAACATGCATCATCCAAAACACCAAAGTACCACTTCTTGACAAAGTAGGAAGGGAAGAGGCCTCTCGGCACCACATTGACACAAGACAACCAAACAGCAAGCCATTCCACTAACAAAATTACCTTAAGTTATGAAATTAAGATTGGATTTAAATGAATAAATCAATAAACAAAACCAAGGAAATATTTTTTTTAGTGATATCCCATTTCAGTTAGAAAACGCAATCAGATGTTTGGGGTAGCACAAGTGATCTAGGAGGGGTAAAAAATATTGGCATACAAACAACAAATTTCCAAGAATAATAAATATTTTGTATCCTGGTCACACGTCACAATCACGGTGCAAACAAGAAACAGTCAGGCATCTCATTTTCTCTTTAACATCAAACTAATAGATGATACGTTTTATAAGATTTGCATGCTTCAAAGGAGGGATAGAGACATCTGAGAAACATAATTATCTTACCAAATATCAGCAAACAAACACCTTATGAAGTAGACCGAGAAAATACCAAGAAGGCACTAACCTTCCATCTCCATATCGGAATCAGAATCAGCAGACATGTGGGATCCACCGGCAACCATCAAATGACTGGGTTGTGAAAAATTCTTTGCTTCATCCAATTTACAATCTACCTCAGTGCCACTTCCACCTTCCAGATATAAGTTGCCATCATGCACAGGAACACTATGTCCACCCTGATCGAGAGGGATAGCTCCATTGACAAAACCAGTAGTGCCCAATTTATCACCAGAAGGTATGCTGGAGTTGGAAGCAATATCAGAGTGAAGCAGTGGATAGGAACCAGCTAGGACAGGTGCGGATACTGGCAACATGTGCGAGTTAGACTGAGGAGGAGAAGGTGGAATCAGCGGTGCCGAAGAGGTTGGTGGTGGGGGTGGGGGTGGTGGTAGGGAAGCCATTGAAAGCATTTGAAGATTGGCACCATTAGACTCAGCAGAACTCCCAAAGGGAGCAGATGTTGAGAAACTGGAAGTTGGAAGAAGAGGTGGGGGAGGTGGAGGGGGGATATGCTGTGGACCCTGCACACCAGCTAGCTGTTGTGGCAGCGAATTATAAAACCTCTGACCTTGAGAAGGTAGTGCTGGTGGTGGTGGAGGAGGAGGAGGTAAACCTCTAGGAGGCAGCGGGGCCTGTAACATTTCAAGACGATGCAAACCAAAGGGAGGAGGTGGAGGAGGGCCCGATGCTAAATAGGAAGAATGCTGCGCAGGTGCATAAACATGCTGGAAAGGAGCAATTCCACGAACAGTTGTAGAAGAGAGTGAACAAGACTGGGCAGCATTTGCCGTCCCACCAGGTGCAAGTAGATGTTGGGGCGGGGGCAAACTTGGCTGAACAGTGTGAGGAGGAGGGCCTAGTTGGAAATTGTGAGGAAGAGGAGGCGGACGGTGAGAGCATGAAGGAGCAATGGGTGTTTGAGAACCTTGGCCACCGGACTGGGGATTAAAACTCCCTTGACCATACATATTGCAGAAATTCAACGACTTTCCTAAGCCTGTGGAAATTAATTAACTGATTAAGAGAAAAATGAAAAAAAAACACTAAGAATAATTAAAAAAAAAAACATTGATATGAATTAACTAGGAAAGCGGAATTTAATTAAATCTCAACATGCAAAACGACATGGTAATAGCATCTTCAACAGAATTGGGAAGTAAGAAAGCAATATTCAATAACGCAGGAAAATCAAGAAGGAAAAAAAAAGGGAAAGTCAGGTTATAAGTTCAACAGCAATTTCTTTTCTTTTCTTCGCTCGAATTTCTCAACAACCAAACAATAGAGAAAATAAAAAAATCGCAACGGCAATGAAGAAGGAAGACTTACCACGAGGAAGAGCGTAGGGTAGAGAGAATGAAAAAAGGAGGAATAGCGAACCCTAGCTAGTGCTGAGAGAAGTGGAATTGTTGCATAGATTGTATTTGTAATGGAGGAATAGCGAGAACGAGATACTGAGAGATTGTTTGAATTTTGTGATGGACTTGGTTGGGTTTTCTTTAGCTCGGCCTCGGCGTGAGAATAAAGAGACCTGTGAGTTATTTTTTTATCTGAAAATAGTGAAATTGCAATTTAGGATGTGTTTGGTACGTCGTGTTGGATAACGTCCGAATAAAAATGGAATGAGATTGTTTATGACATTTTAAAAGGAATGAATCTTAATTTTAGTGTTTATTGATCCATGAATTAGTGTGAATCTTAATCTCCTGATGAATGATTGATTTCCTTTCCTTACTATCCAGCTAAAAACCTAACAATGAACAATTATTGTTAGGTAATCAATTAATTAATTACATGTAATATTCATTTTATTCATGTAGAATATATCTGTTATTAATAAAAAATTTATTTATTTTTAATATTTATTTAGATTTAATTAATGAATCTAACATAGTTAATGAATCTAAAATAAAAATAAAACTCATGAAACAAAAATATTTTACAAATAAAATTATAAAATTCATATAATTATGAGATTTATATTATATCAAATCAAAGTATTGTTTTTAAATATTTTAAGTCAATATTCTATTAAGATTGGATATTGATTAGAGTTCTTGAGACCGATGTATATTGGTTTCATCCTTTATTAAAGATAGCAGTTACTAACCGATGTATATTGATTTCATCCTTTATTAAAGATAGCAGTTACTTTTATAAATTGATGTATGAGAGATATTTAAAACTAATATATAGGTGTTTGTTAGATGAAGATGTTTGAGTAATTAAGAGATGAATCATCACCCTTGATGAATTAAAAAAAATAAATTATCTATTCTCAAATAAAATTGATTGTGAAATCCTTAGTTAAGGTGGAATCAGTTTTAAAAAAAGTTTCAGAATCTTATTCAAATAATAAAAAACTATAATGTTGAAAACTAACATGATTTAACAAAGTAGACATACTCCTTATTATAATGTTTAAATCAAAACATTTATAATAAAAGAATAATAATTACATTATAAAATTAATCACTAAAAAGTTAAGTCAAACCACTTATGTCTTTATTGATATTTTGGAGATCATGATAAGTTACTAATCATTATATTTGATCTTCAAATATAAATAAATCAATTATTGAATTAATAATAAATTAAAATTTTTAATTTATTTACTATTATTTTATGATTTATATTTACACCAACTTATTAGGGAACCTAACAAGTCACATATAAGAACCATTGGTCAGGAATTAAAGTAAGATAATTAATCAAGTGTCGCTTGATTGTAAATAAATTTTAGAAATTAAGAACTAAAATATAATTAATATAGGAAATTATGATTCTAGACGTAGAAAAATCAAGTAGGGACTTGATTGAATGCATTTCTAAAATTATTATAAAATAATATGTGTGATATTATTTAAGAGGCATGTTGATATTTGCCATTTATAGAGTTTTTAGGTTTTTATATAAATAGAATTTTATGTCTCTTATTAATTTTATGCCTTTTATTTCCCAAAAAAAAGTGAAAGAGGAAAGTACAATACATAAACACCTAAAACACAAAAGAAAAGAGCTAGAACTATGAAGTATAGCAATCCATATCTCCTAAAAGGTTTTAGAAGATTTATTACTGGTGATTCGTGTGAATTAATGTTAGAGACCGAACATTTGAACAACTTATAGTTTGAGAAAACCCAACCTTAAAGCAAATATTCAAAGCTGAAAAGAACGTATGACCTTTAAGTAATCTTCATATAAACTCTAAACAACTTTAGATTTATCTAATGAGATCTTTGGAACCCCTGAAAAATTTTGCATTTATCATTTCTGTTGCATGTATGTGTTTCAGGAAACCCAACAAGTTTAACTTTGGTATAGATAATGTCTTTCCTTTTCCTTTATTGTAGACTAAATGAATGAATATCGACCTATCATTTATGTTGAAATTGATCATAACATTGGCCATGAAAAATCAAGCATTGTTCCCCTAAACAAATTGACCATGTTTCATTATCTAACATGTCAACCAATTAAGCAATTTTAAAATGGAACATTTATTGGCTTTTAAGATAACGGTTAGAATTACAAGAATTATATCGTTGAATTGAAATTAATTCATCAACTCTTTAATTAATACTCAACTCTTCACATTCATCATCAGATCTTTGGTTTTTCTCATAAGATACAAAAGATTTCTAAAAAAGCAAAAAAACCATAAGTTTACTTTTCATTTCAAATACTTAAAATGACATCATTAAACTTTAAATAACAAAGACCTTCCCCACTTTCAAAACTATATATATTGGGTCATATATGTACACTAGTCAATCATTAGCAATGCTCTATAAAACAAGGATGAAGAATGTCTTAGTTCATACTAAAAAGAGATTTTACAAGAAAAAGATGCATGTTTTCACTCTAGGATTATCATATGAACCTCAACATATAGAAGAAGTCCATACTATATGACTTAGTGTTACCACTATAAATTACATTATATAGGCTACATATAATGCCATAACACTTAGATGAAAAATATAAATGCTAAATGATTTTTTATGCAATCCAATTATCCATGATCACCATCAAACCAAAAAAAAAGAGAAGATGTTAACAACTTTTTTCCTTCTTTTGGTTTAAGTTAAATAACATATTTGTATATGTATATGTATATATATATATGAGACACAAACCATAACTTTATACAACTAGGCTATAATAACAAGTATATACCTAGAAATTGAGAAACTTTGTGCCTCCGTATAAAATGTCATATATCAATTAAAAAACCTCTTTGTAAACACACCAGAATATAGCATTTTATCAAGAAAAAAAAAACCAACTTCCTTACCTAAAAAGAGTGCAGGGCTTTTCTTATTCACAACTAATGTCATAACTCAAATTTTATCCCTTTGAAATTTTCCAAAATTTTGAGAAAAAAATTTCTTCAATTTTATTTTTTAAAAAATCATATTCATTAAAAAAATCTTCATAGAAAAAGGATTCAAAAATAAAATATAGCTTAGGTTGCAATTAGGTAAGAATTTAATTTACAATAGCAATCGAAAAATCATGCGGGCACACAATTTAGAGGTTTAATTGAAACAAATTAGAAAAATAGTTGAAATTGGTCATAATTACATAAGTTGAATGGTCAAGGATCAAAATAAAAAATTTGACAAAGTTTGGAAGTCTAATTCATTAAATTAGATGCTTAATTAAGGAGAAAATTAAAAATTAAAGATGAAATTGGCTGAATTTGCAAGCCAAAGACCAAAATGAAATAGCTAAAAAAGTTTGGAATTGCAACAAAAAATAAAAGAATTAAAAGACTAAGAATTAAAATGGAATAAGAAGTGGAATTTAGAGACCTATTAATTCAAGTAGGGTGTGATTGAAGAAAATATGAGATTTAGGATTAATTTGATTGAAAATACACAAATTAGAAATCCATTAACAATATTGTAAGAGGCACCAAATTAAGGGATGATTTTAAAGATAGTGTGAAATTGAAAATAAAATCAAAATTAAGTCCAACATCAATCAAGATTGCATAAATTAAAAATAAAAAAAAAATAATTTTTAGGGCATTAAATTGGTTCATCTCAAACCAGAGAGTTCTATAGCAAAAAAAGGAATACGAGAGGAAAAGAAGGAAGCAAAATAAAGAGAAAAAATGCACAAACTAAAAGGAACTAAAAAAACTCTAGATTATAAAGAGGAAATCAACCAAAATCCATCTCCATCATTGGTTATCAACCATGATAGCCATTAAGAACCACCACAACACCTCCCCCACTATATTGGAACCGCTTTTATGGTAAATCACAACTCTTTTCCTCTTTTTTTTTTAATTTAGGTTTTTGTGTAAAATATTGCAAAATGGTCCTTTTATCTTTAAAATGCATGAACACAAATAAAAAAAATGATGTTTTTAGGCTTTAGTTAGGTTTAATTTAGACATTGTATGTTTTTATCAAAAATATAAAAAAATGATGGTTAAATATACGAGAAATGCATGGATAGAAATTTAAAGCTTGGCTTTTTAACATTTATTTATGTGTTATTTAGGTTTTACAGACCTCTTATTTTAAAATATTAAAAAATTAAAAGAATAAATATGATGATTTTGGTTAACAAAACAAATGAATGGAAGAAAAATCAAAACTTATGTTTTTAGGTTTACTTGTAACCTAGACTTAGAATGATGAAAGTTAAGGTTTTGAAATATTAGATGATGAGATCAAAAGCCCACGTGATGTTGCGAGTTTATAAAACAAATGTACTTGATAGAGTTATAATTGTGAACTAGTGTTAGATAAGTAATTGAAACTAAATATATGATGGTACCAATATTTCATGATGAAAAAAAAAAGTTATGTTGGTGATAAAAAATTTAGAGACTGAACAAAATGATTTGTAGCAATTTACAATGTTTTACGAGGAAAGATACAGTGCTTTTATCACATGATTTAGCTTTTTTATTTTTAAAAAGTAAAAAAAAAATCCATAACTAAATTCTCTAACAATTTAATATTTAAAAAAACCACCAAAGATAATTTCAAAGGAAAAAAACCTATAAGAAAAAATATTGTAATAATGAACAATGTTTTGTGAGGAAAATTACAGTGTTTTCCCTAATAAAATAAATTAAAAAACTATTTAGAGAAATACTGTAGCAATCCACAGTATTTTGTGAGAAAAACTACAACGTTTTCCCCATATGAATTAGCTTTATTGTAATTATAATTTTTAACCAACTTTATATTAAAAAAATCAATAAAGATAATTTTGAAAAAAATCATTAAAAAATCATGTGGGAAAATATTGCAAGAATTCACAGTATTTTAAAGAAAAAATTACACAATAATGGCAATAAAATCATAAGAAATTATGTCAATCCATAATGATTAAGCTTTTCCTCACATATTCACAGTGATAGATAATTTTAAGAAAATCATAAAAAAATAACCATATATAGAGACACTATAGTAATTCATAATATTTTGAGAGGAAAGTTATAGTGTTTTTCCCATATGATTAAGCTTTATTACAAAATTAAATTCTAATCAACTTAATATTAAAAAAATAAACTCAACAAAGATAAT